ATGGGTAGATGAAATATGAGTCGGATGATGAGGTGAGAGGTGAAATAGACCATGAGGTGAGGGTGAGAGATGGATGATGTGAGAAGCCTTGTACCCAAATGCTGGCCTCGTCAACTAGCAGAGTATAGATGACAACCACGGACCATTCTAGACAGTCCAGTGGAACACTAGCAGGCTCGCAACCTGTAGGTGTTGTGAACGATGTGTTCACCGGTGTACTCTAAAAAAAAACCCATTGATATGTATTGCGAGTGGATTCTCGGAAACGATACTGTTGATAAACGAAATAGCCCTGACAGCTATGGATTTAGTGCCTGCTGAGTAAACCCTGGCAACTATGGATTTAGTGCCTGTTGAGCAAACCCTGACAACTATGGATTTAGTGTCCGTTGAGTAAACCCTGGGGATGGGTAGATCCTTAAGAGTAAATAAAATAATGGGGATGTGTAATTGGGTTAATTGTTCGATGATTAAACATAATAATTATATTATTGTGGGTTGAAAATCCTTAAGAGTAAATCATGTACCTCCTTCTTGATATAAGACGACTCAGTATTCCAATCACCATTTATAATTAATCCGTGCAAACGATTTTTCCTGTTTTTGCTTTTTACCGCCCCATGGAAGAATTGCGAGTTCTCATCACCATCTATGAGCCACCGAATTTTGGCTTTTTGTTGGAGATCTTGCTTGGAAAATTTTTCCATTTCGTAAATTTTTTCCTTGTGATATCTTCGCGTATTGATTTCATCCTCCGACACTCTTCTTGATTCAGCCACAGTCTCCAATTCCTCCACATCCTATTTTAACTGACTTAGTAATTTGGATTCTGCCTCAGACTCCAAGTTACGCCACTTTCCAATTGCATTCCTAACAAATTTGATTTTTGCCTTTAGAAACATATCAGGGGTCCCAAAACCTTTAAATGCTTTCCAAGCCTGGGTAAAAGCATCGTCGAAGCCATCTCTTTGCAGCCATGAGTTGAAGAAACAGAATGGTGGTGGTCCAAAGTCTTGATTGGATGGTTTGAGAGTACTCGCGAGGTAAAACAATTAAGGTGGTAAGGGATTGTTGTGTGATGAAATTTGAGCGCACGAGGAATTGATCCAATTTACTCAGTTTTATCCCATCGTCACGCAAATATGTGAATTTCTTGCCACTTGAGTTGAATTCTTGGAGTACCGCTCGTGCAATGATGTGACAAAACCTCGTGTTAAATCTTTCATGTTCATATCTAACCGCATTAAAATCCCCCATGAAAATCCAAATACCATCTGTGCTTCGTTTTAAGTCCAATAGTTCAGTCCATAATTTTCTCTTATCAGATATTGATTGGGGACCATAGACATTAACAAATGTTGTAGTACCAGAAACGCCATTCCAGTTCCCTGATACAGCTAAGAAATGCCTTGAAGAAGAAGTATGAGTTTTAACAAAGATCAACGGATCCCACATACATACAATTCCACCTGATCTTCCAACCGGGTCAACAAATTCAACTTGGAAATCTTCATTTCCCCCATGCTCCAGCAAAATCAATATTATTTGAGTCTTCAATCCACGTTTCTTGTAATCTAATGAAATCTACTTTTTGTGAATTTTTAAGCTTTCAGATCCAGTCAATTTTGTGTGGATCACCACACCCCCTGATATTTAGGCATAATCAATTCATTGAGGGTTTTGTCGACACCATCTCCATTACCAACCACATCCAAAACAATTGGATCTTCATTATCCACTTGAAAGCCCATTTTTTGCAAGAATTGTCATCACAACACGAATCAGATACGCGAGTGACAATGTTTGTAGAGGCACAGCAATTTCAATCTGGAATCAGACCCGATGCCGGGAATCTTTTCACCTGTGTGGTCGTCGATATAGGTAACCGAGGCAAATTTTCAAATCCAAGGATCTTTGCATTGGTTCTATAAGTTCACGGAGGGATGAGTTAAAAATTCTTCGACGCTTGTCGTTGGATTCACCTTTACCAAATAACGGGGACAATTGGGCCATTGGAGCCTCCTCAGGTGAACTGGGCCATTCTTAGCCACCCGGTAATGGGATATTTAAACTGGGCTCATCATATGTAATTGGATTGGGCTCAACACATACATCTGTCATGGGCTCCACCAAATGATTCGTGTCATCACGTTGCATATTTGGGGAGTCAAACTCTGGGTCAACAGAGGTTTTATTCACCTTGGGAATATTTAGGGAGTTAATGGATGGGGACGATTTAACTTCTTCTATAAATGCGTCAGTACAATTTTTTGATGATCAGCAACACCATCGTCGTAGCTATCGAAGATTGGATTTCTTCATCACCGGCCTCTGGTTCTTCAACGATTTCACCCTCCTCCGGGACTTCATCCGTATTTTTAGGATTCCCCCATCTTGTCGATACCGCCTCGTCTTCGTCTTCCTTATCTTCAGAATCAATCGAATTCAACGAACATGTTTCATCATCGACGTCAATCGGTGACCCAACAGATTTCTTGAACAAATGATGATCACCAAGCATGGCATCGAACGGTGACCAGTCCCTATCGAATTCAACTACTCCCACTCTATATGATGTGTTACCATTTACAATTTAAATCACCTCGTTTATCATTTTTATAGACTTGGTGAGTACACAAACGTGTCCTGTGGAAATATCCAAAGTATCCCCGTTGTTGTATGTGTTGACTACTTTACCAAATACACCAACAATCTTGGAATAATTCTCGTCTGAACGGAATCTGACTGGAACTCCAAAAATGTTTACCCAAGTTAATCTATCACAGTCCATGTTATCTGCAAAACCTTTTCTAAGCCCCGAACCACCAGTTCCAATTGGAGTCATAGCTAGAAATGTGTCGGCGTTCGAAGGGTTAATGAATTTAAACATCATTTTAAGACCACCAGTGTAGTAAATACTGCCAATGAACTTGTTGTCAAGTTTTAGTAGAGTAGGGATATTTTCTATATGTTGTGCACTCATGACTTCCCCGGTCAGAATGCAATTGTTCTGATCTAAATAGTTGGATGTCGGCTTCACCGCAACTTTCGGCGTACGATGTCCAGAGACCATCTCTGCAAACGTTTTGCTACTGGTGGTTCCCCTAGGTTTTGCGTCCACTTGTTGATGTATTGGTGGGAGGGGAGGAGGAGGTGGCGGCGGTGCATATGGCTTGTGGTTAACCCCTGTATTGATCTGTTTTTGATAACGAGCAATGTTCGCATTTAGAATATAGTGATCACATCTAACTCAGAACATTTCTTTCTCCAAGACCTTTACATCCCTAACACCTTCAAATCTTACAAACGCGAAGATCGATCCTGTTTTTTCTCTCTTCCCACCTATGTAAATATCAACTATCTTCCCAAATACCTCAAATGATTTCCTGATGTTTGACTTTTTGACACGATCGGGTAGCTTTGAGACATAGTAGGATGTTATATGTACGTGCTCCTTCGGTATGTTTGGGTTTTACCGGCGGACTTCCGTCCACTGGCCTTGATCTAGAACCATTTTCCCATTGACATCCATCAAAACATAACCTTGTAATGTGTGTTGACTAATCTTTCATTCAAATATTTAGACTTTTACATCTTTTCCTTTTTATCAAAAACTTATTTTTATTTTTCTATTTTGAAACATTACTTTTAAC